CTTTTAAATAAGAAATTATTCAAAAACGTCCTTCCCTTGAAATGACTAGAATTGCAACCATAAGCATTTGTCTCCTCCTGTAAAGACTAACAGCTTCAGAAGGCAGGCTGCTGAGTAGACATCAACCCAATGGCAGTGGAGATATACTACCTGAGCTTTGCCATAATGCACAGCGCAACTGTCTCAAAGGCTTATCAAGAGTGTGTCTATTTGAATGTAATCACATGGGAGAAGACTGTTTACTACCGTCTTGATGTCTCATAACATCCAAGATCAAACAAAAGGCTAAATTTAGGCATTCTGCCCTTGAAGATGCTGGTTTAATTAAGAAAACAGTAGTTAGAGGTTGAAAATGGCTGAAGAAATATTAGATACAATTTTTAGGTGCCAAAATAAGAGTGTTTTTCATTTGTTTGTTTGTTTTAATCCTGTACGTTGGTAAATTTCTTTTCCCTAAAGCTGTCACTGAGGGTTTGATCCATCTGTGTGTGATCTTAAGGCCACTAGACATGAAACATATGAAAGTAGTGTTTTCTAGATATTAACTGAGGAAACGAATTTTAATAAATGGAGAAAAAAGCTTTTATCTCCAGAAAACAGATGTTATTGTTGTTAGGCACAATTAGTTTGATGACAACTCATAGCAACCCTATGAACAACCAATCTGAGCCTTGCCCTGTTAAGTACACTATCAATGAAAACATTAAAAAGTTAGAGATTAGATTATTCATGAATCCTGAGATACATGCTCAGGCTTTGCCTACATTCTTTCCCAAGCACATTCCAAGCAGATATTTCTACCATTGTTGCTCTTAAAGTTCCTTGTTCTTTTAAGTCATCATAAGAGTTAATGTTTGCTACAGAACCCAAAAGACAAAAGTGTTATCACTATTCTAGAAAAACTGCATTGGTCAAAGATAATTTGAAGATTGTTGTTGTGTTCTGTTGAGTCAGAACCAACCCATATTTGATCCTCCAGCAAATTTTTAGTCAGTAAATTATTACACAGGAGGCGAATGCCCATCTTTCTCCTGAAGCAGCTGGTGGATTCCAACGGTTTGGCTTTAGTTTGGCAGAGCAACTCCTTATCAAAGTGAAATTTAATTCTGAGGTTAAAAGGAGAAAATAAAGTTGCCAGTGTAAAGTAAATGTAAAATATTCTTCTGGGCAACCAAGTGAGTAAATCTAGAATACATATTATCCTTATGTCCAGAGAAGAAGTTGAATTTTTGCTGTCTGTCATAGGATTTACTCATTGGATTGAGTCGACACTTTTATCTGCAAATTCCTAAGAAGTCAGAGTATCAATTTTTATTTTTCACTTCCTAGTTTTACCATTCTGCTATTTGAGCAATCTCTAGCTACTTAGCCTTGATATGCCTCAATTATTCACCTACAAAAGGGGATAACAATGATTTTTTTTGTTTTAGGATTAAATATTGGTATAAATACACATATAGATGTAATTGCTATAGAAAGGGTGTTGGCCACTTTTATCACTGTTATTCTTATTGTTATATAGCCCTGCTGTCTCACTGTAAAACTGAATTTTAAGGACCTCTTTGAAAGTGTATAAAGGGACCTCAGATGCTGTGTTACTTACAGAGTTGACCTGCTAACTAACCCAAAGGCCTTGCATATATATCGTTTCAAATCTACCATTGGTTTCAGGGAGAAAGATGGGAAATCTCTTTTACACTTTACAGCTTTGAACCATGCTAGATCACTGTAAGGCAAAACTAGACTTGAAGGCACTGACTGATATTGAGTTTTTTTAAAATGTTAAAGTATTGTTTCTATTATTTTAAATAACGAACAATTTCATTTTCTCACTCCATATTTTTCAGGAGCCCAGGTGGTAAAGTGGTTAAAAAATTCAATTACTAAATAAAACTTGTTCAAATGCACCAGCTGATCCACAGAAGATAAAACAGCCTGCTTCTGTAAAGCTCCACGCCTTTGGAAATCCTCTGGGCAGTTCTGCTCTGTCCTGCAGGGCTGCCCTAAATTGAAACTGACTCAGTAGCACAGAAACTCAGAAAATTTTCTTCCTTTATCATCTTCTTGGGTTTTCTGGTGGCCTGTTAGGTAGGAGGCTGTAGTGTCAATCTAATGACAGGCTGTTAGAATCCCAAGAACAATGACAGCTGTTCTGCAGGAGATATCTTCTCCTGTGCAATTCCTCTAAAAACCCACTGGAGGGTCAGCTATGGGTCAGTTTCCACTCAATGGCAATAAATTGAGAAGTTTCACATTCCTCTTTGCCCAATTTTAATGATTATAAACAATCTTTGCATATGGTTGCTGCAATAATTTCATACTGCTAAAAAAACTCAGAGGTTGCTTTAAAGAAGAGAGCAAAGGCTTAAGCCAAGAAACTATGTCTATATGGTGAGTAGATAACAAAGAGCTATAGTCAACAGCAACAACTCTTAGCCAGAAAAGTTAGTCAGAAACCAAAACAAGTCTCATTTGTGTTGGCCATGACCAAGTTAACTGGGACATGCAAATTGCTTTGGTTTTCTTTTTCTTTTGTCCTTTTCTTTTTCAAAGCTATTTCTTGACAAAGAATGAAACATGAGAGGATTTAGATGGTTTACGCTTAGGATCTAAGCTATTCTAAGGGATTCAAATATTAATTTTGACAGGTGCAACTGCATTTATTTTTAGTAAACAAAGAATGACAAGAAATTCTACCCAACCAACTAAGGGAAGTAAATCCCTTAATGTTAGGTTGCAGTGCAGGTGTCTCATATTCAAACAAAACCTGTTTGTTAAACATGCACCCAACTCAGAGTTAAAGGAAGGGCAGAGGCCAAATGAAGTATTAATTTTTAAATATCTGACATTAAAACTAAGGTTCTGCTAACTATCTGTACTGGCTTTTTCCCAGGAAAACAACATCAATTTATCTTTCTCAGTAAACAAAACAAAATAGGCATTGAGTCAATTCTGACTCATAGCAACTTTATAGGACAAAGTCGAACTGCCCCACTGGGTTTCAAAGCTCTATTTTTGACAGAAGGAAGCTCTGGAGGCCCAGGGTTTAAGATATTGTGCTGCAAATCTAAATCAGCACCTCTGGCCGTCTAAATCCACCAATGATTCTGTAAGGGAAAGATAGACAATCCCCTCCAGTGAGATTTACAGCCTTGGAAAACCCTGTGGGGTCTCTGCTGTGAATCAGTTCTGAGTAAATGGCAGTGCAGTTTCTTGTTTTTCTATTTTTAATCTTTATGGAAGTAAAATGCCATATCTATCTCCCATGGAGCAGCAGCTGAATTTGAACTCCAGGCTCTTCAATTAGCAGAGGAGCTCTTTAACCACTGCACTCTATTTTCCTGTATGTTTAGTAACAGTTTTTATTTTTTTCCAATCTTTCTCACTCTGAGAGGTAATAAATAAATAATAAATCAATAAATCAATTTCTTTCCCTTCAACTCATTATTATAAAGTTGAATATTTTTCACATACCTATTAGCCTTTTACTTAACGTTCTTTGATGTCTTAAAAGCAGTGATGTCAGTTTAAAGAGTAAGATCTGACCTATGCCATGGTCTTTCCAATTACTTGCTATGCATCTGAGATGGACAGCGAATAAAGATGACAGGAGAAAAACGGATGATGTTTGAGTTGTGGTGCTGGAGAAGCACTAACTATCCCATGAACTGCCAAGAGAATGAACAAATATGTCTTGGAGAGAGTACAGACAGGATGTTCCTTAAAGGGGAGGATGGTGAAACTTCACGTTACATACTTTGGGCACATTATTAGGAAGGGATGGTTCTTAAAGAAATACATCAAGCTCATAAAAGTGGAGGGTCAGTGAAGGAAGGAAAGATCTTCAATGAAGTGGTCTAAGTGACTCTAACAATGGGCTCTAGTGTGGCAGAAATGATGAGGATGGCACAGGATTTGGCAGGGTTCAATTGCGTCTCTGTGAGCCAGGCTCAACTCAACGGCACCTAACAACAACAAAAAAATCTTTTACCATTATTTTCCAAGAGCATACTATTTTGACCCTTCTAATTAGCCACTCTTTTTTTTTTTCTTTTTTTTCTTAATTAGCCACTCTTGTGCTTTCACTGTTGTGTGACTTTCCTTGTTCAATGAACATTAAATATAAATTGTTTAATGTACGATCCTGGATAATACTAACAGAAAAATGGTAACTTCTCTATTAACTGACAAAACAGTACAGGTTACATAGCAAAACAAACAGCAATTATTTTATTTTAAAGAAAAAAGCAACCCGAGTAATACAGTATATAGTTGATTAGAAATTACTTTTACTTAAGTGATCATCTATTCACATATATTAACTTACAACTATAGTAAGTAAAAAACAGTAATATAGATCAATATTTTTTGTTTTAAAGAGTCACTACACATTTAAAAGTTCTTAGTTTCCTTATTAATAATTTCATAAAGTAATGTATCAGTGAAGATAAATACTAAACATCTCTTTAATAACTCAACCAAAAAAAAAAAAAACAAAACAAAATCTGGCAAATTTTTAACTATTTTAGAAAAAGTCTAGGGAGTTATATAAGAGGGAAATGACATTTGAGGGTTTCTTAAGATACAGATGAGGAAATAAAAAAATATAATTAGAATAACTTATATTCTTATAGACTAGGCACTAGATATGAATATTTTACATATTTAACGCAGAGTATCACATATTCTTTGTGTTGGCCAACAATAAACTGTATCCAGCCATTATAAATGATCAGATTGCGGCTGCTCGTATCTTACGGTTCCATCCAAATTACTGGAGATATGGCAATGCAAAGGTTACTTCCTAGACCTGGCAACTGTTGAAAATAGTTCCCATATCAAGATTAGGTGTTCATTATAGGTTAGATGATTATAATGTACATTTAATTATTAAGGAACAATAATACCCAAGAAGCGTAAGTCTCTTTATAACCACTGTAGAAAAATGGTTTTACAAACTTACAAAGTAATGTAAAAGAAAACCACCTCTTCTAAACATTTTAAGAAATATCTAGTTTGTTATAGGCTTCTTCAATGAAAGTCAACATTTTCTTCATCTCGGAGGAATTATGAAGAGTCTGCAAATCCTCTAAAAGATCATTCTGGTTTGGAATCAGCATCAAAGTTTCGTCCTGTGGGTAAAAGAAGGTCACTTCCTTTCAATGTTTTACAATTAGAAATGTCAAACATGTAATTTAAAAAGAAAAGTATAGCAAATCTCCTATGCTCATCTTCAACTCTCATAACTGTCAATTCATGGCCACTCATCTTTGAAATCTACTTTACACTGTCTTCCGTTTGCTCATTCCGGCCCTTCTCATCCCTATTTGATTACAGGTAGGACAAATTTAAATTATTTTCCAAGAAAATATGATGATTTTTCCACAACTATAAACATTTACATATAAGATCCATGGGGGTCTACTGAAAGAAGGTAAAATTATCAGTGTAGATACTCTTTTAAGACAAAGAGCCGCTATTTTATAAAATTACAGTTAAATGTCATTATTAGAAATACAAACATATTTATTTCCAAAAATGTATTCTAGTGTTACAAGCACACAAATGTGTAGACATGTACAAGGGTGTACTTTCAAGTATCATATGTAGCAGCAAAATTATTTACATCAAAATCTCACCTAGCACACTAAATCGATGTAGCAGTGCTAAGTAACTATCATTAAGAATGACTTGGATGAAGTAACAAGGGCAAAACTATTTAAACTAGACTGTTAAATGAGAAAAATAACTTGACAGCTTCATGTCATTGATTCAATTTGTTTAAAAATTGAATAAGGATATATACTATATAACTGAGATATAGTTAAGATGGTCAATGAAAACTTACCTGAAGAATAGGTGCTTTGAGACTGTCCTGAGAAAGTTCTGGAAGATTGAGTACCTCACTATGATCCATGAGAAACCTCTGAAGGAGAAAAAAAAGATACAGATCATGTTAAAAAGCCGAATTCTCTCATCTGAAGTTACATAAATGTTTAGCAGAATTTGAGCATTTGAAGTTAGATACTATGCACACCCATGTTTATTGCGGCTTTGTTCACAACAGCAAGGAGTTGGAAACAACCTAAGTGCCCATAAACAAAGGAATAGATAGAGAAGCTGTGGTATATTCACACAATGGAATACTACGCTGCATTGAAAAACAAGGAACTCATGCAATATTATTCAAAATGGGTGACCCTGGGGGA